GGTCCTATTATGTTTAATGTATGTACCAAATTTGAACGAAATCCATCCATGCATAACTGAGATCCGGGTCCGGAATGGTGAAAATGTGTGATTTTGATGCATTTTCGGCCGCTATTCGGCTATCGTTAATCGGATCATGAAAAAAATGCATGTGCATATGTCCCATATAATGTGTGATGTATGAGTGAAGTTTGAACTTAATCGGTCCATGCATGTTCGAGAAACAGGTGATCACGGACGCACGCACGGACGGAGGGACGCACACAGGGCAAAACATAAGTCCCAGTTTTCGGACTACGTTCGAACGGGGACTAACAATAGACTGGAAATATAGTTATATTGCAATGTTGAATCACTGAAGTACAGTTGTAACAAAATAACTTTAAATGAAAATCGTGTTAAATGTTAAATACATTTCTTAAATTGACTTCTTACTTGTGAAGAAGATTGTTCTGATTGTAAACAGTTTTTTTTTGTATTTATCACTTTTTATTGGAGTTTCCTTTTAAAAATACATTTCTTGGATGCTTAACTTACATAACAATTACATAACTTACATAAAGTATAATTACAGATAAATTCTTGTCTCTCTGTTTGTTGACCTGGGTGTTTTTCTTTTGGATTTCATTTTAATTCAAATGTTCCTTTATTTTATTTTTCGTGTTCATTCATTTGTATCTTGAAAGTTATCTACATATTGTCTCCATTTTCTATTGTGGGATCTGGTTTTGTTTTTTCTCTTAGCAATGTACAACTCTATTTTTTGTATTGTTTTCACATACTGCTTGTAAACATGAAAATCTGGTTTGGTTTTTTTACATCGAGATATATATATATATATATATATATGTCTTTTTCCCAGCAGTACAAGAAAATTTGTGAGACAGCAGAGTGATTCATCTCCTAAATATAATCTGCCAGTCCCTAAGTTTGTGCCCTAGATTCATTTTCCTTCCCCACAGCATAAAAAGGTTTTCCCAGAACATCTCTACATGTTGACATTTGTAAAACAGATGTAACATTGTTTCTTCTTCTGATTCACAAAGAATGTACATTGTGCACTCTCCACTCTTGGAGGTTTCATTTTGAATAAATTTACATTTGTGGTAATAATGTTATGCAATATCTTATACTGAAATTCTCTTAGTTTTGTATCTATAGTTGCATATTAGTGGTATTCGATAAAAAGGCTCCCAACAGTCTATGTTGATAT